AATGGGCAAATATATGCCTAGACTAAGACACAGCCCTCACTAAGCGCGTATAAAATTTTACCAGTAGAAAAGCAGTATCTTCAAATAAAACATATACATCTAAACCATCGCTTTAGATATACCTTTGTGTCTTTTAAAGTAATTATACTACGAATGTTTGTAATAAAATTTAATATTATGTATATTGATTTTTTAATTCTTCATTTCATACATAATATAGGGGTTGGCTCCCTAAAAACACCGATTGTATAGTGTACAAAGCATTGAATATTTACATGTTACAACCATTTAATGTTCACCTATTATTGGCTGGTAATTCCTGTTTCATCCTGCACTTAAGCTTTTTAAAGGAACACCAAATTTATCTAAGTAAGCTAACTTCCAGGGGTAATGATAACATGGTTTACATTAGAATTATGATGTTTATTAGCTTATGTAAAATATAGAAGAAACAAATAGACTTTTCAATACCCCTACAACCTTCGCTATACCTTATTCAGTATTCTACAAAAGGTTTAAATGCAATATATCAAGCCGTTTTTGTTGTAGGCTGGCAATAGAATATAAAGAAGAATTACAAACGGGTTGTTTTGAGCGGATTTTGGATTTTGATTTCCTTGTAAGTTTAACATGTGTGCTTTTTGTGCATTTTTATATGTGTACAGCGCTAGCAGTCAATAGTAAAGTGTTGTTTGAACGGAAACTTTACTGTTTAAGGTACTTTTTTGTCCGAACATTCTATTAGGGTTTTTTGCGATTCCTTGTGATCCCTATTATAAACCACTATCGTGGTTCATGATACTAAGGGTGTTATATTTGTTAAGTTGTCTTGTATTTTTCGAGTGCGGACCAATGCATAGCGTACCTGACTGTGGATCTGAGGTTCGTGGCCCATCCCCCCCAAAAAAACCCTAATCCACATTTTGGGTCCATGAATGCGCTATAAGCGTTACTGTCAAATCTCATTATTCGGTCAGACAAGAGTAGCCCAAGAGTTGACGGCGGGTGCTATTAACTATCTTCCTTTCCTCCAGTCTATAGTTAATAATTAGGGACGACTAGCGCGGATAGCCCTCGAGTAGCTTTGCACGAAATTCAACAAACAAACATTTATTAAGAGGTGAAAATCCCACTGGATGATTGTATTTATTGTTTGTCATACATATTGAATAAACCTTTATTTTGTACATTTTTATAATTGAAAGAAGATATTTGCTGCTTAAATAACTAAAACCCTATCTTAACCTTAGAAATTATTGGTTATCGTGAATTTATAGTTGTTCTGATGGATTTCACACATAAATTTGTATTTTCAACATTACAGCGCACACTTTTCACATGACGACAAAAGAAATCCGTTGCCATTACCAAAACGAGAAAGTGTCAAAAGACTTCTGCTACACTGCCTACAGTTAGTCATATGGAAAAAAATTAAATGCCAGAGAGCCGTGTCTGTTCAGATTGGTTGATAAAGAGGACGACCGTCTCTTTTCACAACTGAGTATTTGTTTCCACCAATTTACGGACAATAAAGTCATCAAAGACAAAAAATTACATAAGCTTTGACAAGTCTAATGCATACTGCCTCTGACAACGTACATTATGTAACCTAGCGGGAGATCTACATGAGTAGGCTAGTCGGAGATCAGTTTTCAGGAACAGAAATAAATAACAAGGTTCGAAAGCCTGCCGCCCTTTAAAAGGCTGAAACTGTACGAGGGTCATCAAAATGTTTGTGTTGTTCGGTGACTCTGAATTTATGTGCTTTTGACAAGTTATAATATAGGCCCCTAAATCCTTAACAAATAAAGGTTTATTTGATATCAATAAAAGCTGCATAATATTATGGTTAAGGCATCAGCTGTCATTTCTCAACTCCATATTCAATGGTTTTAGTGTACAGTGTAAATACTGTTTTTGAAGTTCATAATTATCGTTACAGAGCCGCTAGCCTTCCCACCAGCATCCATGTACAATGTCATGATTGTAGTTGTAACATGTTGCTTGTGAGAAAGAAAATGTTAAACATAAGAAAGTCACCTGACCCATGTATGGTTCGAGACAGAGACTGTCAAGTAGGCTAGACTACATCTGAGTATGACTGCTATGAAAAAAGAATATAAATGCTGCAACCTCCTCCCTACAGGATCCACTCCTTTTCATACACATATTGTTAATTATATTATCCTAGTAAATAAATGAAATGTTATTATTAATCTTGTTATGTAGCAAAGTTTACGTTTAAAAGATTATGTCAACCGAAAAAATAGCAAACAAAGTAGCATACTTAAACTGAACAATCACGTAGTATAGCTTACAGAAGTGATATCGGTAATCATCATTCTACACAATGATGAGCGGGTATTCACGGTGTGTTTTCTCAGCCTAAACAATACGTCAAAATGCCACCAACTCACCAAAGCTACTCAGCTATCCTATTCATGCATCAATAGACGCTTATGACTGTGAGGTAATAAATGCTCACATTTATTCTATGAATAAGTAAATGTTTGGCGATTAAATTCATCTACTACTTCCTTTTCAGAGATTTATGGCAATTTTGGTGCTGTTGCGCACGTGCGTTTGTTTACATTTCTCGCTTCGTTGCCTATTTTAAACGACATCTTGGATTGCCCGTGTCGGCACAGTGTCTCTCATTCGCTGAGACAGGAGCGCGCGCTCAAGTGTTAACGATACAACACTATAGTTTCACACCATGTTCGGAGAAGTCAACTTAAGGATAGAACCATGAGCGAACATACGTCATTATTTACATTGTTTGCCATTTTAAGTGCAAGGCCAATAGACCATGATAAACACTATACACTAATAACCGGCTTGATTTTTGTCCATTTCAAAAATTCTCAACTTTAAAAACACAAAAACGAGACTTAAATACGCTACTTATTTTAGTAACAGTTAAATAAAAAATACAATATCGTACATTGAATTCCTAGCTTTCCTTGTTAGACGACAGCGTACATCCTACATCTTACTATAATGGGCGTTGCGTGTGAGTATCTGTGTATGTAACCAAAACCACAGAAAAGTCTTTAAACATTGATACTATTGATGCATATATGAAGTGTTGATTGTTTAAAGACTTTTCTGTATTCTTAGGGTGTGATTTAAACTTATAAGAAGAAGATTCAAAGAAATACATTCAAGATGGGAAAGCCAAAAATGTGCTGAAATACAAGATCTCAACGCCAGAAGTGTTGATTGCGGCGGATGAAATGTGGTGCCATCTATTGGATGACACCATAAACAGAACTCTATTAGCAAATTTAACACTTTGGGTATTCAAAATTCAGACAATTTCAAAAATAAATGTGGTATGTTCAACAATCATTTCTTTATAACAGTACACAATTTTAAATAAAAGTACTCTCCTAACAAAAAGACCACGACTTTCACTAGGATTGTACTCACGCGAGGATTTGATTATATCTTTATTGATGTAATTTTTAATCGTAGTATTAAAAAACTAGAGTTTATAAAAAAAAGACTATTATTTTTTCAATCAATGATAGCACTTTTAATATATAAAACATTACAGTTTATATCAGTAAAATTTATGAATATTTTGGGCTCTGTACATTGAATCATTTTTATGCAATAAGTTGCGTATGACTAAAGAGCACAATCCTAACACTTTTCCCATGTAGTACTTCCCACAAAAAATACTTTTTAAATTTTCACTATTTTTTAGAATTAGGTATGAACGCTATGATTAATAGTTACTAGCACAAACAAAATGTTTCTAGATGTATGATTGTAAAAGACTGTTACAAATATCCTGTATTACTCCACATAATTCTGTCAAGTTGCTTGGTTGCCTTTTGACCTTTTCAATTTCTATAGATATATAAGCTCATACAGGCTTAATAATATTCATATGGGGACTTTGTGCAGGCCAAGC